TACTGATGTTAACAAGAAGGCCACAATGCTTGTTTTTGTGTGAAGAATTTTCCAGGAGGATGTGCATGAGGATATGTTATGTGAACTTTTGTTGCCAACCAACATCACAGATGTAGAACTGTTCAAGCCTTTGAATATCAGGAAAACTGTATTAGTCATTTTGTGTCTACATATAGACAGATGGAGTGGATGCCGTGACTGGGTGGCCTCCTGGCTTCACTACTCTGGTCTCTCTCTCTTTCTCTCTTTCTCTCTTTCTCTCTGTCTCTCTCATTTTTTAAGACAGGGCCTTGATATGTACTTCAGACTGACCTCAAAATTATTACAATCCTCCTTCCTGCCTTAGCCTTCCAAGTGCTGGGATTACAGGCGTGTACCACTACGGGCAGTGAAACATCTTCTCTTATATACAAAAGTGGTATCAAAGATCACTGGCCAGAGTTTTTGAGTTACCAAGCCACTCCACAGATTTCTTTTAGAAAAGCAATTACCACTGGCAGCACATTAAAGTGATGCAGGATGAGTCACAAAACTTCCTTACTTATTTGACATATTAAACCTGCTGAATGGACCCAATCTGTCATTTCAGAGGAGAACAACAACTGTGTTTAAGTCATCAGATAAAGTGGCTGCATTTAAAGCCAAACTAGAATTATAGGAACACGTGAACAGTAGGATTTTTGACACGTTTCAAACATTAGCAAAGATTTTGTTTTTTGTTTGTTTGTTTGTTTGTTTTGGGTTTTTTTGGTGCCAGGGATCGAACTCGGGTCCTTGTGCTTGTGCAGCAGGTGGCGAAACCACTGAGCTAAATCCCCAGCCCTAGCAAAGATTTTGAATGGGACTGAGCCAGGGTTCTTTTTCCCAGCTGATGCATAATCACCTGTTTCAGCTTTCAGAAGACTTTGACCATTATTTCCCAACCACAGAACTCCCCTGAACTGAGGAAGAATGGATTCATGACTCATTTGTGAATAAGCCAGGTGAAACAACTTTTTTATTCTAGAAGAAGATCACCTGCTTGAGATTGCAAATGGCAGTGGCCTTAAAAGTATGTTTGAGACAACTTAAATTCTCCATAAAAGTTCACAATCAACATCCTGAATTGCCACAAAAGCATAAAATCCCACTTATATTTCCAGTATCCTATCTTTGTGATTTGGGTTTTCTGCAGTGAAAGCAACCAAATAAGATTGTGGTGTAGACTGGACATAAGCAACATACTTCAGATGTTGCTGTCTCTCATCACCCTCAGATGGGGCTGTCTAGTTGTGAAAAAATAAACTCAGGGCTCCCAGTGATGCTGCATTATGTTAAGTTGTAAAATTATTTCATTATTATATTACAGTGTAATAATAATAGAAATAAAATGCACAATAAGCATAATGTGCCCATCTGTGGAAAAATTATCTTCCACAAAACTAGTCCCTGATGCCAGAAATGTTAGGAACCACTGCTGTAAAGATCCATCTATTAAAAATTTTGAGGATTTGTCTGCCATTGTCATAGACACTATGTAAATGCACAAACAGGACTCTGTCCATATGAAACTAAAACTTTATTTGAAAACACAGATGGTGGCAGGGATTTGTACCACAGTCCATAGTTTTCCTTACTTAGAAGATAAGATCTTGGATTAAGAAGATATGATCTTAGATTAAGAAGATTCTTATATAGCCACAAAAAGTACTAATATAAAAGGAAAACTACAAGGCATTGGAGTCATTCAACTTGGAGACCTCTGCTCAACAAAAGGCGCCATTGGCGCCCCTGCGCACACACTCATCTCCACACCCGCGTAGTGCACGTGAATTAGCTAGACTGAAGCAGCTATGGATGCCTTGGACCAAGTTATAAAGCCCAAAACAAAAAGGGCCAAGTGATTCCTTGAGAAGAGAGAACCAAACTTAGTGAAAATAATAAAAATGCTATGCTGATCAAAGGGGGAAATGCAAATGCAACAGTGACACAAGTACTGAAAGACGTGTATGCACTGAAAAAACCTTATGGAATTCTGTAAAAAAGAAAAATATTACAAGACCATTTGAGGATCAGACATCACTAGAGTTCTTTTCAAAGAAGTCAGATTGTTCTTTATTCATGTTTGGATCCCATAATAAGAAGCGGCCCAATAACCTAGTAATAGGTCATATGTATGACTACCATGTGCTGGATATGATCGAATTAGGTATCGAGAAATGTGTGTCTCTAAAAGATATTAAGAATAGTAAATGTCCTAAGGGAACAAAGCCCATGTTAATATTTGCTGGTGATGATTTTGACACTACAGAAGACTAAAAAGTCTTCTTATTGATTTCTTCAGAGGCCCCACAGTAGCAATATCTGCCTGGCTGGGTTAGAGTATGTTCTGCACTTCACTGCCCTGAAGGGGAAGGTTTACTTTCAAAGCTATAAGTTGCTGTTGAAGAAATCTGGTTGCAGAACACCACGGATTGAGTTAGAAGAGATGGGACCTTCATTGGTTCTGGTTCTGAGGAGGACACAACTGGCCTCAGATGACCTTTATAAGTTATCTATGAAAATGCCAAAAGCTCTCAAGCCAAAGAAGAAGAAAAATATGTCCTGATACTTTTGGTACAACTTATGGGAGGATTCATATGCAGAAATAAGACCTAAGCAGGCTACAAACAAGGAAAATGAAGGGATTGAAGATGTGACCTGCAGAGAGGATAACAGAAGACTAGGAGAAAAAGTCAAAGAGAATTAAAAAAAATTAATGGAACTTAGCCAACAACTAGAAAAAAAAAGGCACCATTAAAATAATAAAGAGGGAATCAATAGGATGTGAAGAGCTATTTGTATTACCTATGACTCATATCCAGAATATATAAAAACTATAAATAAATAAGGATGAAAAATAACTCAATGACATGATCAAACAAATCCCAAAAGAAGGTAGCCAATTTGCTAATGATAAATTGTCGTTAGGAGAATGAAAATTGAAATTATATGAGATCCCACTTCATGCCTAATAGCCTGACTATAATTTAAAAGCCTGATAATTCCAAACATTATCAAGAATTTAAAATATACATACCATTAATAGGAGTGTAAATTGGCATACCTATTTTTCAAAACTCTTTGGAAAGTTTCCTTCCTCTAAAGTCACATACATATATTTTCTGTGACTCAGAAATTCCTAGAAATGTGCACCAAAAGCCATGTGTGGAATGTGCATAGTAGCATCATTCATAATAACTTCAAATTATAAACAACCTAAAAGGACAGTAGAATGGGCAAAAAAATCATGGTATATTTGTAGAATGGAATACTGGACAGTGTTGGGGCTCAGAATATAATATCCCTGAGTAGCAGCCACAGAGCCAAAGCTGTTCTTTTGTCTCATTCCTCATCCTTCCTGCCATAGCTAACTGTGGTGTCAACTTAAATAAGAAGGGCCCAGCTGACTGGTTTAGCACAGTTCTGGGCGCGTCTGTATAATTGACTTACTGAAGAAGGAAGACCCACTCTGGATATAGGCTTGTGGCCCTAATGCGATTAAAGGCAAAGAAGAAGGGAGTCTCAATTTTTGCTTCTTCAGAGAAGCCCCAGTCTTCGCCGTCATCTTTAGACATCTATCTCCAGGCATCCAGTGCAGACCCTTTAGCCTTCCATCTAAGATTCTTCAGCCTTTAAGCCCAGACCCTGTGGTTTCTTGATACAGACTTGCATGGAACTCTGCAGTGAGGTGTAGGTCTTCAACCTTTGACCAGATCCTCTAGCTCTTCAGTACACAGACTGCCCTTTTCATTCTTTCACACCTGACTCCGCAGGCAGCCACTGTAAGCCTACCTTATAAATCTTTATTTTATATTAAATCTGTTTCTCTAGTGAATCTTAACTGATACACTCCCTCTGACACAAGCCATAGAAACTAGAATTCCTCTTCCACAAGGCAGGTCATAGAACCCCGTTTTCCTCAAAGCCAGACATAAAACCTAAAACTATGACAGTAAGTCCCCGACTTATGAATGAGTTCCACTCTGGGAGAATTGTTCATAAGTCAGATCTGTTCACAAGCTGACAAAATGAGTCTTATACAGTACACCTTTGAAACTTCACAACTCTGATGTTTTTAAGTTGGTGATTTAATGTACTATAAAATATTCCCTCACCTTCCTGTGTAAAACTTGGCCATAAAGAAATTCTCGGATCTACTCTCTGATAGTAGCTTTTAAGACATCAGTTTTAGAAGGAGTCCTGACCCAGATCCAGGAGGAAAGAGTGTTGTACAGAGTGGCTAAGAGGAATCCAAACAGACAGGCCTGGCTGAGTACCCCTCAGTCTATTAGCAACAGATCCTACCCTTTTCCCCTAATCACATCTCTACACCACTGCCCCTGCTTCATTGAATCTGAACATGAAAATGGTTCATTGGATTCTTTGGCCAGTCAATCTGAAGCTTCCAGTGACATGTGAAACTGTAGCCAAACAAGTATGTTATGGTTCCCTCTTGTTAATTTGTCTTTTGTTACAGGAATGTTGGCCATGAACCTTTGTAATAAGCAGGAAAGGGATCACCCTCTTTGTCTACCTCTACAATAGCAATAAAAATAAATAAACTATTAAATGTGAATATGTGGAAATTTCCAAACATAATGTTAAATCAAAGTAGTTAAACATGAAAGAATTCGTAAGGTATACATCTAATTATATGTAGCCCAAACACAGTGAAGACTAATGTCTGGTGTTATGCTCAGGACAACGGTTATTTTGAGAGAGAAAGGAGAAGGTGATAACTTGGAGCAAATATGAAGTGGGTTTCTTGGGTGCTGATGATGCGCTGTTCTTTGACCGGAATAGTAGTTACTGGATGCCTTCATTTTGTAGTAGCTCATTGACCATCCACTTATGATCTAAGTGCTTTCCTCTATTATATAATACTTCATTTAAAAGTTTTTAAGGAATCCACTGGAGTTTTTCATTAAGCCCTTGTCTCTTTTTCCAATTATCTGTATATGTTTTAATCCCCATAACAGGACAGGAAGAATAGCTGTGGAGATGCTCAGGTAAGACTGAAAAGTAGCCAGGCAAAGAAGCACAACTTAGAAATGTCCACAGTGTCCTTCGACTGGCTGGAAGACCCATCTGGCTCCAATATGTTCACCTTCAAAGGTCACCTGCCTAGTGCCCACCTCACAGAAGGAACAGCTTCATAAGCTCATGTACTCAGAGGTACCAAGAAGCTATTTTGTTCTTCTGTCCACTGTCCCTCCTTAGTCCTGCTCTTTTCTGCCCTGTCCTTGGTTAAGTCTTACAAGTAGTTTTACTCACAGGACAGTGGCTCAAATTTCTACCACGTGGCTTAGATTTAGGTTTTCCTAGCCTGTGTCAAATTTGGAAGTCTGATGTTTTTTAATACTTGATAGCAAAGAATTTTATTCCTGAGTCCTAGAACTTTTAATCTTCACGAAATAGAGAATTTTGACCATCTCAATCAGAGAAAAAGAATATTTCTTCCATCTCCTTCAGAGTTTCCTCTTCCTTGAAATCTTCATTGAGGCTTCCTAAATTCGTTTCCTCTGCATGTTCTCCCTAGCTAGGACTATTCCTGGTCTTGAGAACTTTCTTTGACAGAGGTACAACTGCTTTTCTGTCTGTGTCTTGTGGAAGCTGATGCTAACCCCAGTGGCATGTTTTCATAAGCTTGGGTGGTTGGGGGAATGCCACCAGGGTGGCAAGCAGAGGAGATTTCAGACATGCACCTTGAGACGGAGGAAAACACAGACCTGGAGTCAGACAGGCTGGAGCCTAGACACAGGGTCTTTGCTCACTAGTTGCTGGGCCTTGGACAAATGACTTGATCTTGTGTGGACTCAGTTTCCTAAATTGTGAGAGAAATAAAACAATGCTTACATTATAGGGAGGTTATATATGAAGCATAAGACAATCTATGTAAAGTACCTGATACGATGACTGACACAGAATAACAACAATTACAACAACAACACAAAAAGCACCTGCAGTGTAACAAGCATATTTTACAGTCATCCCTTGGTATCTACAGCAGACTGGTTCCAGGACGCCTGAGGATACAAAAATCCATCGATTTTGTAAGTCCTTTATATACAGTGGTGTAGTACATGCATATAACCTACAGTCATCTTCCTGTACATTTAAAATAATCTTTAGATAACTTATAGTAACTGATGCAATGTAAATGTTATGTAAATACTGTGTTGTGTAGGGAATAATGAAAAGAAAAAAATCTGTACATGTTCCGTATAGAGACATTTTAAAAATTATTTTCTATTTCCAATCTGCAGTAGGTTAAATCTACAGATTACTACACAAAGGCCCCACTGGTCTGTGGTGACTCACAATAAACCCAGCAGATAGGTTCTGTTACAATTACCAATTTATAAATGAGGAGTAGATGCACAGAGAGGTTAAGCAACTTGTGCCAGGTCAGATAGCTTTGTCCAAGGGTACAGCAAGGCCCTAATCCAGGTGGCCTGGCCACAGGGCCCATGTTCTTAACCACAACACCAAATTGGTTTCTTGTCCCTAATGTGGAGATAACAAAGCATAGAGTACTTGTTTCATGCAATTCTTCCATCCTCTTCCTCACACATTTAGATGGCATATCTGATTTTTAGGTTTAGAAAGAGAGAAATAGAGTCGCCTGGAAGATGCCAAATCACCCCGCTGCAGACAGATAGGTCTGCCCACGCCCCACCGAGGTCCTGAGTCGCACAGAACACTCTGAATCAGCCTGCTGCAGGCAGACAGGTCTGTGCACGCCCTACCGAGGTCCGAGTCACGCGGAAGATGCTGAATCACCCCGCTGCAGACAGGCAGCCACCTGGTTCCATACTACAAAGATGCAGAGGAGACCAGACCAACAGACCAAGGTACTGAGTCTCGCTGCTCCCAGCCAAGAGGTAAGGGCTTCTGAGCCGCCATCCCACTGCTCCTGGTCCAGAGGAAGGGGCTTCCCAGCCACCACCCCTTGCGCTGCTCCCAGTCCACAGAAAAGGGCTTTTGGGTCACCATCCCTACTGCTGTTCCTAGCCCCTGTCCCACCTCTCCCAGTCAGACGAGGTAATCCGTGCAGGCGCTAACAGCCCCCCACCCCAGTCAAAATGAGAAAACA